GATTGGAAGAACCTGGATTACGTAGTTTAGAGACGGGGAAAACTGAGGGAGGTTGGGGAATATTTTTCAAATACGAAAGGATTGTTCTAAAGACGTTGCTTATTTGTTTTGTGTATGGGGTATAGGCTTAAATTACAAGGGAGATTTAGGTTGACTATTGGCAGTTGTCAATGTTACATCGAACGTCCTCATAGAATTTTTCAAATATGGGTCGCTTTTTTTTAATTTTATTTTGTGGGTGGGGGACAAAGCCATGATATGATTATCAGTGGATGGTCATAAAATACCTGACCATTTCATTAGTTACTCAGGAAGATGTTAGCCACAGCCACTAAGTTTAGAAATTTCTAAATCGGTACATATGGATAACTTTTGTCCAGGAGCTGGCAGGGGAGATTTCTGAACTTAATTTTCAATAACTTTTTGAACATCAGGGAACTTCAAGAAGCTTTGGAAAAATTTAACATTGGGCCAATATGTGAAAAGGGTAAATGAAATGACTAGGTGGTAATGTGAACATCAGTGTAATATTTGCCCCAAGCAAACAACTTACCAAGGATTGGGGAGGATTCTCCATCACTGGAGAACTTTAGAATGAACTTCAGATGCTTTTCTAAAAAACTGATTCCAGTTTGAGCAGGAATTAGTTCAAGGAAGTCCTCAGGCCTGAGACAGGCAATCAGATTGGTTCTTTTGGGCCTTAGGCTCTATAACAAGGCTCAGGTACTCTACATAACATATTATAGAATGAATGATAATATAATGGATAATTCACCACAACCCTTTTCAAGGTTTGATGTTAAGATGATGTGACCGTAATTACATAAGACGTCCCGTTTACCAGTTTTTTTAAATGTTGGCACTGCACTGACTTTGCTGGTATTCTGTAACTTTGCCAATATTCAGTGAGATGAGGTTATATGGAGCACTGATAGTATGGCCTCATTTATAGATTAGATGTCCAGTTTGAGTGGCTGGGAGTCATGTGCTGCATAGACTACTCACCACAACATATAGGCCCTTGTCCCCCACTATGTGGTAGGCAGCCTGTCTGGGTTCACAGCAGTATTTCCACATCATGTGGCAGCTGTCGATCCTCCTGAATCCCCGTACCATGGGCTTTCTCAGCCCTGCAGGCCATGCCATCCAACCTTGCCTTGCCCTGCCCCTAGAACAGCCACTTGGACAACCCTGGACAAGATGATAATGTGTCTCCTCTGGCCTTTCTAAACTAAATTACTGCATAACACAAATCATAGACCTTTGTGTCCTTGGGTGACCCAGCTAGAAATGCGTATTCATTCATTCTGACTGAGTAGAGGGCGAGTAGATGCAGGCCACACTGCTCCCCTGTGGGCCACTGGCTGCAGAAACTGGCATGCTTTAACCACATCAACATGGTAGGCCGCTGGGTTCAGACCTTTTGAACATTTTGATATTTATACTATAAAAAAATTACAGTGACACAATAAAAGGAAGATGTATTTAAATGACGGTAATTGAAGTATGTATTCTTTTTGCAAAATATCTGCTATTTCTGCTTGATTCATTGTGAAATGTAACAAAGTGATAGGAATTCATGTTATTTCTCAGCTTACAAAGCGATCCAGGACTCCTCAGGATTGTGTATAAAATTGGCTGAATCTGAATGTAGTTGGCAAATATGTCATGCACACACAAATGTTGTACTGGTGTTAGCTGGAGTAGTCTCTTGACAAGATTCTTGTCTTGTCACTTTTGGTGTTACAGAAATGGCTTTAAACTAGGTTTTTTTCTGCTAAGTGGAAGGTGATTTTGATAGAAATATAAATCAATCTGGAACCAGCAAGAAGACTAGTAAGGAGGGAAATAGTTTTAACATGCATCTGTTTTGCCAGGGAATTTGAAAACAGTCAAAGAAAGCTTTGTTAATTCCATGGGTCAGCTAGCTATGTAGATGGATAGATAGATATCATCATATGGTTTCTTTTTTTTCTTTTTTTAACTGTTATTTAGAAGCTGAAGCATGAATCTTTTATCTGTTTGCCTAGTGGCAGTTGATCATCACCTTTGTGGTATGTTGTTTGATTGGACATAGAGTGAATGAGAGGGGCTCTTCTTACTATTATGGCAGGCTTCCAGCGTGGTCTATCTGTTTTACAGTACAGCTTAAATGCTAGGAATGTGTACCACTAGCCATTGCTAAAATATTTTGGGTACATGCAGTCCCCCAGCTTCCCTGTTCTTGGTAACCTGTTTTCCCTGTTCTTTCCAGCTAGCCATGACATATTCCCCACATATCCAGAATCTCAGAACTAGTTGAAGTACCTCAGGTGTCAAATATTCTTTGGGTCCCAAGCTGTATTCATATGTCTAGTTAGGTACTTCCCTACTGAGAAATAGAGCTGGCTGCCTGGAAAACAAGAATTCTGTTTAGAAGGGGGAAAAAATGAGGTTTTGGAACTTTTCCTTTTGCATCAGAACACAACTGAGCTCTTTATTAATTTTTTAAAATGCAGATATTGACTCCTGCACCCCAGAACACCTAATAGCCAAATAGTTAGGGCTTGTTTCACCTGACATATGGAAGACCTAGCTTCAAGTGTCTGCTCTGCTGATGCAGTTCCAGCATTTGACCCTTGAACTCTTGCATCCCATGTGAATGCCTGAACCACTAAACCAGAGAATGATATCTGTTCCCTTCTCATTTGGTTCTGAGAAACCTTTCCCAGGAACATTTAATCAAAATCAGTATCTTTTTAAATAGCTTCATTTTCAGTGAATTGGCATTGTCAAATAGGGAGAAACCATTTTGTTAAAGGAACTTTACAATCAGCTTTCTTCAGGAGCCAACATGCAATCTGTGTCTTTGCTTTCCATTCACAACTTATTCAATCCAAATTCTGTACTAGAAGCAGGGCCTTTTCAGTGGGAAGTTCAGAAGCTGGGCCAAAAATTTAAATAGTAGCTACTCTTTTTTGGACTTTAAAATGGGTTTGATTGCTCAGAAAATCTTGAGCCTCTCCTCTAAAATTAAGTCATCTAAAAATTGGGTGCTCAGATTACTAGTCTTATTTAGGATATGTTGGTCTTGGAAACCCTGTTCTCTCTTAGCATACCCCTTCTGAGATCAAAGTGCTGATTTCTCTTCTCTGTAGTGGAAAGATGACTTAGCATAAACACCTGGTTTCTTGAAGCATGGCTACTGATTTGCTGTAAAAGAACGTGCAGTGAATGAATGAAGCGTTACTGCACTGTAACTTACTGCACAGCGTTATAGCACTGTACTTAACAAGATTTTAAAAACCCCCCAGCTAATTGCTTTCTTGATGATGGAAATTCTGAAGTTATAGTCCAACAGGTCACTGCTTTGCCTATTTAACATTGTGCTCACCTCTGAATTTTATTTATAAAGTCTGAAGATTTGGTCTGGGTTAAATTTATTTATCATAGTACACATTTCCAACTTGAGTGCAGAAGGCGAGAAAATACTTCCCTTTCCACATCATCACAAACAGCATCCTCAAAATGATTTACAGTCTGCTCTTTTTATTGTTACCTCAAAAATTTGTTCTGGATTATATTTCAACCCATGAATTTTATAAAGAAAATCTATCTGAACCATTAATCTCTCAATTCTCTTCAGCCTGTGATTTCATGGATGTGAATTGGAGGTCTTTTTATTATATTTTAATTTTCTTTTTATTGCTTTTCACATTATGGAACCCAGAGCCAAGGTTCTTAAATACATAATATAAGCCTAAGGACCTTAAACGAACATGTTAACTTATTGCAGCCCTTTTCCTGGCTGTTTTCACAAGTTCTCACAGATGGCTTGACAATTCACCCAAATACCCAAAAGTAATTTTAAATTTCAATATCTTAGCTAGTTTATGGTCTCTAATCTGCTTGTGTGAGAGTAGTAATTAATGTAAAATTAATTAGTCAATAGCATCAGTTATTTAGCCGTTTGCTGCCAGGACCTGATTCCATAGGGAAGAATTATTTGTTCCTTTGTAAACCCCCAGCAAGACGAGTTCAGGTCTTGGGATGTTCTTATCATAGAAGACTGTGTTTAAAAGATCCAGCAAAGCACTAAAAAGTACTTTGTTTCATGGCTAGTCTTCATTCTTTTTTCAGGTTTAGTTATGCGTGTTCTTTGCCAAAGTATGGTGAAGGGTGACTCTCTCAAAGTCAATAGAAGACTTGCCATTAATATAATTGAAGCCAAGGTTTTAAGCCCATGCAGTTCTGTCCAGGACATTAGAGATTTTGACTATCATTGTGTTAACTTGGATTTTAATAACAAGTTTTTACTTCTCCTCTGTCCCTGGCCCACCCTGTTCTGTTTTCATTGGCCCAGGAGGTGTAACTGTAGTGACACCAGGTTGGCAAGTCAGAAATTTTTTTTTATACTGTATACCTTAAGGTAAGGGAATACTGTTGTTTAGGTAGAGCTAGTTTAGTAGTTAGTTATCTGTTCTGGTAAATTTGTCTTCATTTCTGATTGAAGGGAGGGCAGTATAGCACCTTGGAGACTAACTGGTTCAAAGAGGCATGAGCTTTCATAGGCAACTGTATACTTTGTAAGATACTGTGAATGGAGTAGCAGCCAATGATCTGCAAAATAGATTTGACTTTTCCCAGTTTTTGTCAAATGATTTTTAAATCATGTGTTGGCAAGTAGTCAGTCTGAACTTTCCTTTGTTTCAAATGAGCATGATGTTCTCAGGGAATTGTTTCCATTTCCTTCTGGATGTACTCACAATTCTCCATTTGAAATTGTTGTTGTTTTTAAGTTGATGGATATATTATATTTCTATAAATCTTTAATAGCTAATGCAGTGCATCTACCACTCATGATTTTTGTTTTCCTCCTTCCTATAGTCTTCATATGACTGTTATAGGACAGTCAAGTTTTGAGTCCTGAATTTAAAATTGATTGTCCTTAAAGTATTTCTCAGGCTTTGGAGCAGTTGTTTAGCAGTCCAATTCATTCAGTTTATTCCCATCTCTTCTAGGGCTTCTCAGTGGGCAGACCTCACCTACAAGCACCAAACTGGAGAAACTGGACTCTCAGCAAGTGCTACAGCTGTGCCTCCGGTACCAGGATCATCTTCACCAGTGCGCAGAAGCTGTTGCTTTTGATCAGAATGCTTTAGTGAAACGAATTAAAGAGGTATGCCGTATAGAGGGGTGCAGTCTTCTGCCAGGGAGAGAGATAAAAATGGGTCCATTGAAAGAGCATGGAATATGGACCAAGTTAACCACTCATGTGACCAGCTTAAATACTTGGAACAATCGCTTAAGATTCCTTTAAAATAAGAACCTAAAGGGAAATGGTATACAAGAGAGAGCTGTTGGTAAATTGAGTATTTTCTTGGCTTACACGGTGGGCCCCACTAGCTATTTATTATCAGTACATCTGTTTATGCCATCTCCGATGATTCCCTCTTCTACTGAAGGAATACCTTTGTTACCATCAGTGCCATAAATAAATGTAAAAGAGGTGACCTGGGAGCCTTTTAAAAGTACCCCTTTTATCTAAAACAGTAGAATTACCTTACTCTTTGTTTTTTTGGATTGGTATGGTAAAGATTCAGAAAAAAGAAAGGAAACTGTATTTGTTGCTCGTTCACCTTTTCTTGTGACAGGGAGAAGCTAGTATTTCTTTCATGTATTTCTGCAAAAGTACCTGGAAGAGCATTCCCAGTTGCCTCCACTGAAGGTCCTTGCCCTTTAAGAGAAGCATGGAAAACAAGTTATCTTCAGGAACCAGAGCCACTTGTGGAAATGAAACTGCCAGGTGGAGAAGTGAACCAGGCAGCTTGAGTATGTGGGGAAAATGGGGTGAAAAGCAGCATAGGCCTTGGAGGAGGTGAGATGAGAAACCTCTACAGGGGACTAAGGTAGAGATGAACAAGAACCAATAAGAGGAGGAAATGTTCAAAGTGGGTGCTCCATTCCCAACAGTGAGAGTTGTAGTTACCCAGTTCTCATGAAAATCAGGCTGCTTACCTAGATCCTGTAATTAGGAGCTGAACTTCTGTCATCCATTTCTGAGCATCTTGGCTGCTAGTTCTACTGTCTCTTCTGTCTACTTTTTTTTTTTCTTTTTTCTTAAATATGAAATCTTCTCTTGCTGCTGAAAGAGTTGGTGATCTTTTGCATTTATAGACAAAGGAAGTGTAAGGCAGTTACATGAGAGTAGATCATGGGACTGGCATTCTGCTTCTGGTGTACAGCTCTTGCTGGTCCACAAAAGCAAGTGCTATCTTATATGTACAGTGGCATGTATGTGGCAGTTCTCAAATCACATTTTCCCACTCATTATGTGTATTTTTTTGAGTGGCAAATTCTCACATGCATCTTCTTTTTCCCCAGCACCTTTACACTTCAACTTTCAAAATGGCCTAGTTTGTGGAGCACTAAAACAAACTTTATAGAGTAGTCCAGATGTAAGGGAGATGTGGACATCTGGGTAGCCCACATGGTGGTAGGGAGCCCGCTCACTCACTCAAGTGGCATGTTGCCCCCATCTGCCTAGAAGTTGGATAGCTCTGTCCTAACCTGAAGAATAGAGGGGAACACTTGCCAATATAGTATTTGTCAAGTGTTGCAGAGACCCATTAAACTCACAGGATGGAGCATTGGGGTTAATTTTTACCTGCTTTCCATAAATAATGACCTTTTTTTCAGTGCGCCCTAGAGTTTAAGTCCCACGTGATGAGCTGAATAATGTGATTCGTGAGCTGTTTTGAGGAACCGCTGTGTCTTTGTCTTGCTAAGTCCAAAATGACATGGGAGCCATAAATTCTTCTTTTTGCTTTGGCACATCAAGAACTGAAGCCAGCTGTTACACAAGATGTAAAAAAAATCTGCAGATGTTGGTGACTCAGTTCACATAAATTCAGAAATTATTTTAATTGCCAACTTAATGACAGGGTAGTGCATTTATCTAAATAAATTTGGTAATTCTTTTGTCTATTTTCATGAGAGTGTAAGTATCGACATAATTTAAAGGAACAGTGTGATTGGCTTCTGCTACAATCTTGCTTCTTGTAGTTGGCCTTACTTTTTGTAGGAGACATGACAGAAACATCACAGTTTAATGATTGTGATATCTTCATTTGGCTCGTCAATTTATGAGTTTACTTTGTGAACATAAATAATATGCTGGTTTGGGTGGCTGTCTGTCTAGGTAAAAAACAAAAACAAAATGTTTGGCCATAAAAGACGTAGCCATAGTTGTAGAAGTACAGCTTCTGATAGAGATGGAGAATAGTCTGTCTGCAAAGGGTGGCAGCAGCAGATCCTTGATACAAGGATGACAGTCTTTCAGTAAATATGGAAATCATTGGTGAGTTTATATATATAGAGGCATTTCTACAGGCTATAAGCATGTTTGCACTAAAGGAGTTGTACAAAATTGACAATTGAAGCAGGGTAACTTTTGTGTGACAAAAAGGTTCAGGGACTTGTCTACACAGAAGTTTCACCAATTCAGTTTAAATCCCTTTTAAAAATTCATTTTAATTAAACTGGTGCAAAAGGCTGTATGGACACTCTTATGTTTGCTTTTAAACTAGTGGTTTCAATCTTTTTTTCATTTGTGGACCCCTACAAAAATTTTGAAAGGAGGTACAGACCCCTTTTGAAATTTCAGATAGAGGTGTAGATCCCTTTGAATTGTAAATGTGGGCATCTACACACTTTTGATTGATCATAGTTATCTTTCATGGACCCCTTAGACATAGTCTTCAGATCCCCAGGGGTCCATGGCTCACAGGTTGAAAACAACTATTCTAAATCAGGCTAACTTCAGTTGAGCTTATTTCAGCCTTATTGGTAGTGATCTAACTAAACTTTCCTGAAGACTAATTTCAAACTAATGCAACTTCTATCTCTTTGTGTGTGTGTGTGTGACCTAAGAAAATATTGTATTAAATGTTACAGATCCTTTCACCAATATACGTGTGTGTGTGTGTATGTATTTTTAAAGAGGACTTTGCGCAACAAAACAATCCAAATTTATGCAACTCTTGCCTTGTCTAATCTAACTCAAAGCCCTGTTTAAAATGCTACTACTGACTAGCATATTTAAAACCTGACTGATTTGCTACTAAGAGGTGCACAGATAAAGATTTTTTGGGCCAATACCGATGGCCGATTGTTGACCAGCCATACTGACCAATACTGATCCAATTGCTGATATGTAGCTCAGCAACATGGAGAGCAGCATCTGGCTGGAAAGTGTTCAGGGGAAGCGGGAGGGGAGGCCAGATCGAGGCCCCCGTGCTGAGTGAGGGAGTGGGGCTGGTGCAGGGGAAGGTGCTGCCCAGCTGGGGTGGAGCACGGGACAGAGCTACAAGTGGCTCGTCTGGGGGGCGTGAGGTGGGGCAGCTCCTGCCACTGCATGCATCCCCTAGGGAGGCATGGGGGGCCCATGCCCCCCTGGATTTGTGTGTGGGGTGAAGGTGGGCTGCTGCTGCACGTTGGGAATGGAGGCTGCACCAGGCTTTTCCCAGTGTGTGTGGCGGGGGGTTAACTGGGGCTACAGTTGGGTGGGGAGGGAGATCGTGGCACTGGGAAGGGGGGGTTATAAGGTGGCTACAGCCCCCCCCCCAGTCTGCCACCTGCCCCACCTTGCTCAGCCCAGGCACAGCCCCGGGCCAGCCCCTACAGCAGGGAGCAGCTTGGCACAGCGACTGCAGCAGCCCACCCTCGTCCCATGCACACATCTGGGGGGGCCTCCCATGGGGGTGTGTGCTGTGAAAGGAGCCACTCTCCTGCACCCCCAGACAAGCTGCAGTTCCATCCTATGCCCCACCCTGGCTGTGCAGTGCCTTCCGCTTCCCCTGCCTCAGCCCTCCCTCCTTCACCACCGGGACCTCAATTTGCTGCCTCCCCCTTCCTTCCCCACCCCACCCCACCCCACCCCACCCCAGAGACTTACTGGCTGG